TTAGATCGATCCAAACCCATTTGATAAAGTAAGAAGGCCCAACCAAAGCCTCCAATCCAAAGAACCGAAGAACTCAATTAGCAGCAGCAATTTGCCATGAACAAAACACGGTATTCTTAGGAAAACGAATAGAGAAAGGATCTCTCAAATTTTCACCAGAGTCATCCGAGACTGGAGTATTACCGTCCCCGCCGTCGATTGCAGTTAGTATTTCTCTCCGGCAGAGGAGTAGGCTTTCGTCTTGCTTTCTATTGCTCGGGCAGACGGAGAACTCATAACTGATTTTGACCGGATTCGAGATCGGAGAGGACGGGGTTTTCATCCGCCGGGATTTGTATTGCTAATTAGATGGGAAATACATTCGTGAAGAAACTCAAAATCACGGATGTAGATCGAGCAATTCTCTCTCTCAAAACTCAAAGATGGGAGCTTGGGCAATATCAGTAGCAGGTCTTCCCTTCCTTCCCTTCCTTTTCCTTCAAACTTCCTTCTTTTTATTTTATTTTTTTTTTATTTTTTTTCTGTGGAATGCATAATTTTTTGCTTTAATTTTATCCTTTTTGGTTGCATGCTGTGAGAAATTAAAAAAAAAAAAAACTGAATTTGCTTTCATGGATCTGTTTAAATTCGTATGAATAAGTAATTTTCGTTTTTTATATAAATTCTGTTTGTCTTCTGCTCTTTTCAGCTTGAAACTGTGATAGAAGCAGAAAAGCAACCGGTGAGGGATTTGATTCGTGAAAAGAGAAAGGATAGAGCCTTATTAGCATTGAAGAAGAAAGTTGACACATGGTTCATCAACATCGACTAACAAGTAAATTATTGTACCCATATGTACAAATGTGTATTATTTAGATTGTTTCAATCTTTTTTTTTTCGTGATGGTTTTGTGACAACAGGTCTATGGCGTATCCGATATCCCCCGGCATTGGTTTAACTTTATCCTGTCTTTCTTATCTGTGTTGGTGGCTCGAATGTTTGTTGCAATTCACCTTTTAATTTGGTTTCAACTTGGGTTTGGAAAGAGATATGACTTGAATCCCAGTGTATCAGTGGTCACTTCTGAGAACAACAAATTAAGTGAAATGATAACGAAATGCAGAGTAGAAGAAGAGCTCTATCTCAGAAGGGGCATAAAAAGCAATTTTAGAACTCTTCTTTCTCTTGGAACAAAACTTGGGCTTCATTGGTACCGGTGGGCATGACAACATCTCTGGTATCCTAAACTTTCGACCTTTTGGAGTCGAACAGCCTCCAGCCACCGAACTATCTTCACCTGCATTGTTTTGCTTGAGTTTGCTGCCGCCATTGCCACGACCAGGCAACCCCATTGATGATTCCTCCTCTGTTTTTGGGGCCTTGAAGTTTCGAAGAGTGAAAAAATGTTGACACTCTTTTCTTCTGAATGTTAATAGAAGGAGGCCAAATATGGCGGTATCAAAATCTGGGACCTGGTTAGGATTTTGTTCAAAGATAGCAACTTGAAAGATCTTTCTGCTGTACTTCACCAAAAACCCCCCACAGCAGGATTAACTACTACCAAGTATAAATAATTTTACCCTTTTTATATATTCTGTAAACCTACCAATTAAATCTTTGATAAGATCAAAGTAGAAATTTCTTGGAAAAACGTCTCTGTTTATTTGTAAGAATTTGAAAGAACAAAATTAAAAGAAAAAGAAAAAGAAAAAGAAAAAGAAAATGCACACCTTACATTATTAGATGAGGCTCTCTAATATTAGGGATTGTCTCTATTTAATAATTTTTATTTTGTAATTTAGGCAATTCAAACTGCAAGATAAGGCATTCATTTGAAAATTTTTATAAGAATTTGGTTCAATTTAGTTGATTAAACTAATTTAATTTCAATCACTTTTAAGTACGGATGGTAAAAATTAACAATTCACATATTTAAAATAAATCAAGGTAATCATTTTCATCTTATAACATATTTTAACTTGAATCACTTAACATATGAGTTAAATAAGTGTCAATTTAGGTTTTATTTAGGAGAATTTATAAGTGGCTTAGATTTTAATTTTTTTTAAAATTTTTTTACTATTTTAATAATATGTAATATATTAATTAAAATAAATATTAATATATTTTATATTTTTTTTAAAATAAAGAGGAGCAACCTACAACTACATCCCAACTTTCTTAAATGAAACTTCAATTTAGCTTATCCATTTCAAAACAAGTACTTATGAATCCAGTTAACCCAACTTATTTTAGCTCATGTGTAACTTCTTTTTTTTTTTTGAACAACTACAATTTTTAAAAAATAAGGAAAGAAAATGGGGCTAAGAACCCTCAAACTTGGTCGAGTGAATAACAAACAATACCACTTCCACCCATCCCATAGGCCAAGTTCTCATATGCAACATCATTGAACTAAAGCAATTGAGGAATGGGGAGGGGATTACAAGTGTGACCCGTGGGGACCCACATCTAGTGCTAATTTATGGAGTAAAGTGGCTTTTGCCACTTGCTCCTCCATGTGGCTGGTTAGCTTATATGTAACTTGCAAAAGACACGGTCAAACCCCAACCAAACCGAACTCTTGTTTTTCATGTTGATCACGTAACAATTTCCAACTTCCTTAAGTCTTTGACTTTCTCAGATTATAATTTTCAAACTCTAACCCCATATTTTGCCCACAGCAATTTGAGACCATAGTGTTAACATTGCTGTCGAATTAAGCAGTGAATATTCCCCCTTGACATAGTAATCATTCTGCTTTCTATCATTCCTATGCAAACAGTGAAATCCATCTGAGAACATAACATTAACATCACCATTGAAGTGGTGAATATTTCCCCATGGCATACAAGTTTCTATTATTCCCATGCAAATAGAGAACTCATCACTACTTTTGACCTCTTAATGGGTTGGTGATCAAGGAGAATGAGTTTTTTTATTGGTTAGGATTTGTATTGCTAACTAGATAAGAAATATACTCGTGAAGACGCTCAAAATTATTGATGTAGATCTAGCAAATCTCTCACTCAAAACTCAAAAATGGAAACTTGTCCAATAGCATATTATAAAATCAAATATAATGTGTCTCCATGAGTATGTTTTGGAGATTAACCACACACAAGGACATAATGATTAGTTTCTAACAATATTTTATAAATATGTAAAATTTTCTTTACTATCAATTTTTAATTTACGAAATCTTCTTTTCTATTTTTGATCTTTATCACAATTTTTAAAGCAAATAATGCTCACAAATATGAGTTTAAAGTTATCATGTCATATAATTTTGATTGATTTTTAACTAGTCAAATCATGTAAATGGTAGCCATGTTCACTTGTCACAAAGTAGGCATGGCAATTTAGGGTATGTTTGGGATTGGTATGAAATGTTGGGGCTGTAACTATAGTTGTAGTTGTGTTAAATTGTGCTATACTGTAATTGTAATTGAAAGTTATTTGGGTATTTTGTTATTTATTTGTTAAAAGTATTATAAATGAAATGTGATAGATTTTATTAGTTATTAATTAAAATTAAAAAAACATTGTAAGATATTAAAATATATAATATTTATTATTTTTTAATAATATAAGTTTTTTAAATTTGTTATTATTATTAAAATATTATAAATTATGATATAATTAAATTATACGAAATTAGATTTTAATAAATAATTTTATAATTATATTAAATATTAAGTATTTTTTTTTGTAAAAACCACAATCAAGAAGTTTCAAAATGAGGTTTTTAATTTTATATATAAAATTATTGTAAATTTACTGTAATTTTTTATAACTTAAAAAAAAAACAAAATATAACTTTAAAAAAATATATCAAATCCTTATATATTTAAAAGCACTGTACTGCCGTAAGAAAGAGCCTTATCGCAATCGCAAAAGCACTTTTGAACACTTCAAAACGGAAACATTTTGTAATTCAACTCATGGATTAAGCGCCGATAATTTAGTCTAGTCCATTAAAATGATGGATGTAAGCTCAGCCCGTGAGCTGATTCGGTCCATTTGAAGCCTATATTTAGTCCAGTCCATTAGGATGTAATGTTTTCCTGTTTTGGCCTTTGCCTTCGGCATATTCAAGAGGGGGATAGAATCATGGTTAATAAACTAGACTTCAGAACAAAACAAGACAAACTACTTCATGTCTCATGACATGACTATTCTTCTTTCAAGCTTTCTAATTGGGTTTAATTGCTCTACTAAAATAACAGATGTTGGTTCAAATATGTTGAAGTATGTTTTAATTTGAATGAATTAGTCTTTCTTATTCAAAAGAATTTAGCAATTTTAATTTTGTTTGTGCGAGGTCTGTGGGTATTGTGTTATAGAAAATTATTAGGATAGTTTAGGAAAAAAGACTATTGCATTAAGAGGCTTTGATTTGATAGTTGCGGACTTGCTGGAGGGTGACGAGCTGATGGAGATCAATCTAAGATTTTTGTCGAATGTGTTTCTTTTGTTTTAACCCAACCAGGTAAGTAGACCTATAAAGGACTAATATGTTTTTGTAGGAAATCAAGTTTGAGATTTTTTTTTATTAAAGCCAATTTCTAAAAATCTTTTATTGTGTTTTTTATTAATTGAAATTATTCTCAGTTGACTCATTTTTTTAATGTTTGCTAAATACAAAAAATATAAAAAATAATTTTTGAAAACTACTTTAGGATTGACCGTTGCTTCAATGCATACTGAAGTTGTGTCTTCTCCAACTCCCTGAACAAATTGTTTTCCTGATTATAATGACTGAATAATTTCAATATAATTCACCCTCATTCCATTTTATTTAACCTTATTGGTCAACACAAACATTTCCATTTCTGTCTCTGAATTGCATATCATATTTGATTTCGTTTTTCTTGTTTAATTCTTTTGAGGTGGCTGGAGGAATTAAAAGTTATTATGGCGGAATACACAAATATATAGATTGCTGCAAACATCCTTACAAGTTGACTTCAAAGGGATACATTTTACAACAATAAAAAAAAGGGACTTCAAAGGAATGTAACCCATGCAAATTTTTAGTAGAATACACAACATGACATGACATCGCAATTTAAACAGGGAAACAATTTTGTGTGAGCAGCTAGCTTCACTTATTGCAAACTCTGGAATGGCGAACAGAACCATGAAGATATGCGTTGGGCATAACTTTCAGAGTGGCGAACTGGCTGGCGCAATGTTTTGCTAACTGTTTCCCGAGTTCTGGAATGCCCAAAGATAATAACGAATTTCAAAAACAGTATCAAGCACAGAAAGTAGAAGCCAGAAAACCGCATAAAAAAAGGAAATGCCTGCCCATGGAGTGTTAAAGTAATTGTGCCATATATTTGCCTTCCACAGGTTCCACTTTCTCTTGCAATGCTTATTCACTTCGATGAACATCCGAGCTTTAGAGAAGTTGTCTTTGGAGATCAACAGAGAGTTATGGAGTTTGTTAAATAGGTTAGCGACCACTACATGATCACCTAACCAGTTGTCAATAACTCGGCGGCGACAAAGTAATTCAACATCCTTTCCTGTGTTGATGAGGCAATCCATGAATATAAGATACTCCGTGAAGCATTTTGAAGATGCGCCCTTGAAGCATTGTTCGTAAGCAACTAAATTTCGAAGAATGGACTCTGTATCGTCGTTGACACTTAAAGTTGGAATTGACATTACCCCCTTTTGAAACTTTATATCAAACAATCTCCCCTTGATTTTTTTAAAATTTATTCCTGCCTCGTTGAGCTCTGTTGCAGAACTTATGAATCGCCATTCCTTACTATTAGAGTCTGAATCACGCTTGCACCCCAACCTTAACTTATTGAATGGCCAAAAACCTACCAACGATGCTAGCCCCACTGCAGTTCCCAACATTTCCTCCGATGTATCATGTGGTTCCTCTGCTATATCAGGTGGTTCCTCTGCTAACTCGCATTCCTGATATTCCAGAGGCTCAGGTGGTGAACTCAGTACTACCTCTGACGAAGAGCAATTAAACTTCACCTCATGGCATAGCGACCTTATAACTTTCTCTGGTAAGCAAAAACTACGGGCTTCCTGGCAATCAGGTGAAGGAGCCTGGGAGCTATAATGAAGTAAGCCCAGTAGATGCTTGATATCTTGATTCTCGGGTCTTCCAAGAGATCCTGGCATTATTTTAGAGAAGAATTTAATAGCCATATCCATGAAGTCCTCCTCTGGATCAATTGACGTCCTGTCAAACAATTCTGAAAGTATAAAGAAAGGAAGTTGATTTTCAAATAGCAACAGATCAAGCATCGCTCTACTCAAAAAAAAAGGTGCAAGTGGAAGGTCGATTCTGCCCCTGGTAGTGTTTCGGATAAGCTGAATGATAAAGCATCCATCAAGGAGCATCATTTCTACAAATTTTTCTCCACCAATATCATTCAAAGGTTCTGAATAAAATTTGCGAGCTTCTTCTTCCATGTCTTTCAAGACCGTCACATAATTCTCCAGACTAACTTCTGGATCTGGTGTTCCCTCAAGTAGCTGTTTTAGATAAAGCATTTTGTACTCCTCCATTTTCTTCAACTGATCTTTACCATGGTGGTAAGGGCCAATGGAGACTACTTGAGGTTCATACGCCTGTTCACTTATCCGGCGCAAATGATTAGGCACTTTGAAAATGCTACTGCTTAACCAGTCTGGCGAAACATCACCTCTGAGCTTTTGAAGTAGTTGAGTGTGAAGAGGAGGTCTGTCTGTTCCCCCTGCCATCACCTGCTGAACATAAACAATCAAATGATTGGGGTTGGGGGAATGAGAAACAGATTCGCATTTTAAGTTAAGTAAATATATCCAAAGTCTAAGAACATTAAGGCAGCTCCATTAATCTTTTAAAGGGTTAAAATCAATGGACTACTATCGAATTTTGTTCATTAGCATCCTTGTACTAGAAAATAATGGCCATTAGAGTCCTTAAAGGGTGTGTTTGGAGTGAAGGAAAGTTATTTTTTCCCTTCACTCAAAACCTTTTATGGGCATTATAGTATGTTTACGCCTCAATATGTAACAAATAAAGGGCAAAGTTGACATTTTATGTTTCTATTTTTCCGAACATATTTCGTAATAAGGAAATACTTTTCCCCAAATTCTGAATATAGGACCCACTTCACTTCTTTTTCCCAACTTTCCAAAATATCAACTTACAATAATTTCAACAGAATAACTTTCTGCATATTAATTCTTAACTTTTCATTCAAGACTTTCCGATTCAATTTTCTAATCCAGGAACAAACTAAGTTCCACGGCTGGTTTATACATAAGCCATGCTTCGAGTTTTACTTAAGGATCATCCTCCAAAGTACTCTGACGCTGTAAGTTTAAGTGCAACATACTGGACTTTCCAAACACTTCTAAAAAATCTTGAAGTAATCCAGAAAATTATCCTTTCTAGTGATAAATTGATAGTTTACCTGAAATCTATCAACACAAAAATACATAAATAATAAAGAAAAGTAGTAATTCTCCATCGGAAAACATCAGATCCTCTTCCATAGTTCCATGTAAAACAGAAAATAATAAATAAATAAATAACATGTAATTAACAAGAAAAATGGTAGATACATTTTTCAATTCAATTAGTGGCGTAGCTAAAAATTTATGTAAGGAGGGGCAAAATTTAAAGTTACTAGTTACTATACAAAATTATGAAGTTTTTTACTATACCAAATTATGAAGTTTTAGTCTAAATTAATAATGTTTTTCTCAATTGAGTTAAAATTAATATTATACCCTCTTAATCATAAGCCTTTTTTAATGATATTTTTGTATTTCTAATTTTCACCTAGAAATGATTAAAAGCACATGCCAAAATAATAATTCAAAATACAATCCAAAGAGTAATTTTTCAAACAAAAAAAATTAAATTAATAATTTATAGATTATCATTTAATTAATCTTTATTTTTCTTATTTTTTATATTTCTCATCTTTCTCAACGTCATAAAAGTAGTATATGCTGAATAAAGAGATAAGAGAATGAATGATATGAAATAAAATATTTAAGAAAAAATGATATAAATATAAAAGTAAAGTATTAAAAATTAAAAAAAGCTGAGGATAAAAATAAATTTAAGTAAAAAATAAAATATTAATATATTAATTTTTCAAAAGTTTGGGGGCCGGTGCCCCTCCCAGACCCGTTAGATTTGCTATAAGTTTTACACATCTATTAATACTTTTTGATTTAATCGTTAAAATATATAATTTTAAGGTTTTTTTTATCTTTAATTTAAATTTAAAAATAAAATTTTTTTAATAAATATATTATAAAATATATTAAATCAGAAAGGGTCTAAATTAGTGAAACTTACAAATGAATTCTATTGGGGAAAAAAGAAAAATTAAAGCAGTACTTCAAATTTGCAAATTTAACATGCATGCGTGCATTAAAAGAAAAAAAAAATCAAATAGTATTTCAGTTCCACAATCATATAGCAGGAAACAAACAGAAACTTTAACACCAACGGTTTGTTATTCGAATGGAAAAAATTTAATTTTTTTAAAATAAAATTTTGAGTTTAATTTTTACAAATAAAAAATAAATACTGAGAAAATTTCTTCCCATACGAAGACTGATTCATCTCAACTACAAATTAGTCAAATTCAATGTAACTTCTGAACATTAAGGTGTTAGTAAAAAACCAAAAAAAAAAAAAAGAAACTTCCACAATTTCCGAGGTCAAAAAACCAAATCTAGAGTCCAAGGTGAAATAAAGCAAAAATTCAAGCGAACTTGTGGGAGTTATTACTGAAACAGATTGAAAGAAGAGAATTAAAACAATAAATTCTCCGAGGAAATCAATGAAACTTACTGTTCTTGATTTGCAGTAGAGGAAATGAAATTGAAATTTGGAAATTTTATGTCTGCTCCGCCGGAGATGCTGCTTCTCTGTAGTAATAAGGGAGACGGAGAACTATTTTCTATGATTTACTTTTGAAGGAATTCTTTCGGTGTTATATAGAAGTGTAGGTGAAAGACCCGGCGGCCTATCGGTGCGGTTTTTAATTTTTGGTTTTTGTTGTTGTAAATTTTATAACTACAAACAAAAAAATTCTTATTATTTTTATATATTTTTATAATATATTTTATAGTATTATGAATATTGAAAAAATAAAAATAAAAATAATTTTAATACTATTAAACAAGTTATATTTTAGTTGTTAGAGTTAAAATTTATTTTAAATAAATTTTTAATTTTTAATTTTAGTTTTTAATAATTTTAAAATTTATAAAAAAAAAAACCCAAAACTATAATTATACTAAATGGTATTTAAGAAAATAACTCTGCGAGTTCGACAGGAGACAACTAAAACTCAAAAGTTACTAATTGAAAGTCTCTAATGAAAAAGATAGGACCCTACACATCCACTTCATCCTTTTTTAAAAAAATAATACAAAGTCATATATTTAATTAAATTAAAGGTAGTAGCCTTAATTATTAAAAAAAATTATATTATTAATTAAAAATTCTTTAAAAAATATATCTTTATTTGTATTTTTTTATTTTAAAATAATAGATATTTTTATTTTTAATTTAAAATTAAGGATTTAGAGACAATTTTTATTTTTACTTGTTTATCCTTAAAACAAGAAATATAAATAAAGAGATTTTTTTATTATATAATGTCTAAAAAAATTAATAGATAATCATAAAATTAAAGTATAAAAAATATTTATTTTTCTTAAAATATAAAAAATACTATTTTAAAATAAATTTTAAATAAAAAAATTGATTATCCTGAAATAGAG